GAGCAATTAGCCGAGAAATTCGATCGGGCCTGGAATGGTTTGGCAAAGCGTAGCAAAAAGGGCAAACCACCGCTCCTTTTGACGCTCTGCTTGGCGTTTCCATCTGACATACTAGGCACATTTCCACCTGGAATTGTCTGGATTTTGGCCACCTTCGCGCAACCTTTTCTACTCAGCGATCTGCTCGACTTCACGAGATCTTATCAGGGCATTGGAGAGCAGCCTGAGCCAGTGTAGTGAGCTGCGCCCCTTCTTCAATAACGCCGCTTTTTTAATTCGGCTTGCTCAGCATTCTTCCACGATCGCAGCATTGGAATCGGTTTAGTCTGTGCATTTGCACTGGTGTACGCCATCATTGCCTTGTCCTTTGCGCACACACAAGTCGCCAGTGTTCAAGTGTGCGTCAAGGTCAGAGGCGCTATGCTTGATGCCATCTTCAGGAAAGGGCTCGTGCTCCATCTCGCAGCATCTCGTGAAACGGGATCAAGCGCAGCATACAATTTACTCAGTTCCGATATGGAACGTTTAGCCATGGCTTTGATCGACTTGCCCGAAACCTGGACAAGTCTCATTGCCATAGGATTCGGACTCTGGCTTCTTTGGAGGGAAATTGGTGTTCTGTTCTTAACGGCTCTAGGTATGCTCTTTCTACTTGCTTTGATTCTTCCGGCACTAGGAGAGCTCGTCGATCGAGGTCAAGACAGATATTCCACTGATTCCGATGCACGACTCAAGACCACCGCGTCAGTCGTCGACAACATCCGCCCATTGAAGCTGTCTGGATACATCAGCACCATCTTTGCGAAGACTGCCGGTCAGAGACGCAAAGAGATCCGATCTTTGAGAGCCTATTTTGCTGCAACTGGCTTTGCGCTCATGACCGGCAACGTTTTGCCAGTATGGCTAGAGGTCATTGTCTTTGGCGCATACGGAGGAAACGTCGCAGTCAGGCCTGAGTTGGGCGAGACGCTAGGAACAGTCAATACTTTCCGTCTCCTGAACATCCTTAACGCCATGACTGATAGCCTGGTCAATGCGGCCATTGGTTTTCCGGTGGGTCGCTGACTGTCGCCTTTCGTGCTGGCTAGCCGCTGATTGACGTCTTTTCTTTGCTCGTGCACAGGGCTTGTACGGAGCGCTGGTCAGCTTAAGGCGTGTGCAAAGCTTCCTTCAGCTGTCAGAGAAATTCACAATTCCTAGCAACAGCAAGCTACGCGAGGACGACACAGGCGAATTTAGAGAGGCTATGCCCGCAGACACCCACAGCCAGTCCAGTCCGGTGGCTGACGGAGAGAAGAAGTCTGAACAAGAGCCCGACGTGTTGACCTTGCGACGCGCGACTTTCAAATCTCGTGTCGCTGAAGTTGCGGAAGGCAAAAATCCAATTCTGCTGCACGAACTCGACCTTCGCGTGCCTGCAGGTACTTTCACAGTTGTCCTCGGGGCCAGCGGCTCGGTGAGTCTAAGTCCTTTCCAAACATTGAGATTATCAACTGATCGAGGCTTGCGCTGCTAGGGCAAGTCATTGTTGCTTCACGCCCTTCTTGGAGAGATCGACCTCGTTAGCGGCGAGTTCTCTAGCCCATGGCTTCGTGAACCGTCCAACATTGCCTACTGCCAGCAAGACGCATGGCTCGTCAGTGGGTCCATCCGGTCTAACATTGTCATGAACAATGCATTCGACGCGTTGCGTTACAAGCGCGTGCTGGACGCTACTGGACTTTCACATGATCTGTCCGCGCCAGGAGCGAGTGACAACAACAGCGTCGGATCCAGAGGGAGCATGCTGAGTGGAGGTCAAAGGCAGCGCGTGGCGCTCGCTCGAGCGCTCTACTCCGATGCAGAGCTTTTTCTTTTCGATGACGTGCTGTCTGCCGTCGATCCTACCCTAGCCACACACATATTCGAGAGTGTACTAGGCATCAGTGGTCTGCTCCGCTCCAAGACCGTTGTCATGGCGGGCCACGATGTGGCCAACCTTAATCGAGCTGATCAACTCGTCGTGCTTGAAAGCGGACGCATCGCCCAGAAAGGAGACGCACAGACCCTGCTCTCTGACCCCAAATCATTCGTTGCCCGCTTTGTCGATCAGCAACGAGCAGCGGCGGTCGAGGAGAAAGAGCATGCTCAAGAGGTGGATGAGGAGCTGTACACAAAGTCAGAGGATGAACACGACCCTGTTGCTGGTGGAGACGATGAGGTCGTGCGGACTGGAACGAAGACAAGTCGATGGAAGCTTTACTCTTTCTGGTTCCACCACTCTGGCTGGATTGCCGGCATAGTCTGGTTCATCTTGGCTGTGGCCCTGTCCGTACCGTACTTGCTACCGCAAATCATCTTGGAGAAGTGGGCGGGCATCAATGACCTCATGCCGAATCGAAAAGCTGGTACCTACATCGCGGCTTTGGCAGCCATCGCCGTTGGTCACACTTTCATGTTCGCTGCGACCATCCAAATTCTTTATCAGTACCTCTCACCCAGAGGTAGCATTCGGATGCACGACGCGATGCTAAAGGGCATACTCGACGCTCCACTGTCTTGGTTCGACGACGTGCCGAGTGGCAGAATTGTCAACCGCTTCGCCCAAGATTTGTACATTGTCAGCTGCGAGACCCCAAAGGTGAGTCGGTGTCCGAGACAGCGTCCTCGCCAACTATGAGTTCGTACGAGCGGGCTCACTGGCAATTCTCAACAGTATGTATTTCTGATGATCAGCAACTCTGCAGACCTGGTCGTTCTCATGGTGAGTTGCAATCCCTTGCCAGTGTCAACAACTTAGCGCGAGGGCCTGACATCGTCGCGTTCGATTGCAGGCATACACAATCACTGCCACGCCCTACTTGGCCATTTCAATTCCACCACTCGTTCTGGTGTACTATGGTCTTGCAACTCTGTACACGGGTGCTTCTCGCCAAGTTCGCCGACTAGACTTGGCTGCAAAAAGTCCCTTGTATCAGCTGTTCAGTGAAGTTTACGAGGGCCTCGCGTCAGTGCGAGGCTACCGGATGGAGACCAGTCTTCTCTTGCGAAACCGAGCACTTCTAGATGCTTCTCAAAAACCTTTCTTTCTTCGGTTTACAGCCCAAGCTTGGCTTTCTCTCTACCTCAACCTCATCGTCATGATCATCGCCGTCGTTCTGACCGGACTGGCGGTCGGGCTTCGAGATTCGGTCGCTGTCGGCTTCCTTGGAGTTGCGCTGTCCAGCTTGGTGCTTATCAGCGGGACATTGAATAGGATTCTTCTCTTCTTCACCCAAGTGGAGACTTCCCTTGTTGCTCTGGAACGTGTAAGGGAGTTTACGAGCATTGAGCCCGAAGGCACCAACGATCGCAGAGGGCTTGCTGCCGAGACATCGAAGCCTGTCGACGAGGATTGGCCAGCGAGGGGTGCGGTCGATTTCAAAGGCGTGATCGTCCGCTACCGGTGGGTGCAGAGCAAAAATTTAAAGCCTCCAACTAATTGGCTGACTCTTTTAACATCTTCTCAGCCCCGAACTCGAGCCAGCGCTGAGAGAAGTGTCTTTCTCCTTCGCATCTGGACAAAAGACTGCCATCGTCGGCCGAAGTGGAAGCGGAAAGAGTACCTTGCTCATGACTCTCTTCCGCGCGGTAGACCTCACTTCGGGCAGCATCACCATCCATGGTGTCGATCTCCGCAGCGTGCCAAGGGAAACGCTGCGCTCTCGTATCAGCATTGTGCCTCAAGACCCATTCTTGCTTGCCGCTACAGTC